TCTAATCTCTGAAGTTTCCAATTACTCCCCACAGCAAGACCTTCAGGTTTTCATGAATGGTTAACTTGAGGTAGAAGATCTTCCAGAGTGAGCCTAGTGCATATACTATCTGAACCTCTGACAGTTTTGTGATGTTAAAGTATCAAAAGTCCTTTCTGACTGTGTTAGGAGCTGTGTGCAGATGGCGCCAATCACCCCACTCTAATCACTGAGACTGCAAGATTAGGCCAAACTCCCATACTAACACTCCAAATTGCGTGCCATTTTTCATCATTTGTATTGTCATTATATGAGGGCTTTTTGCTGTTTGATGGTCACTTTGCACAAGAGTCAAATTAATGAAGTCATTTGTAAGCCCTAGTTCTTGAATATTTAAAATTTTACTTGTGTAGTTTCTATTACACTGACCAGTGTTGTTTAAAGGGCCATATTATGTTATTTTTTATGTGTTATAATTTTGTTTCCTCAACAAAAACATAGCTGGACTTAATGCACAAACCCTGCATATTTAGATTGTGTTCTTCTCTCAAACAGAACACATTCTGTTCCTCCTTGTGATGTCATGTGGTAATACAGGAAGTGCTCCACTGTGTTTTTAAACTTTATACACCTTCACTAGAATAATTTGGCCCTGGAATTGCCAGTCACTGCAGAACTAAAGGTAAAAGTTAGCTGTTAACTTGATAACTAGTGCTTCAAGACATCTTAAGTTAGAACAGAGCATTTTGAGCTTTGGAGATGTAGACAGACTAATAAATCAGGATTACTCAAACATGGGTGAATGAAACAAAACACAACTCTGGGTGTGTTTTTTGAGGAAGTAGGAACATTATAACATGGCTTGAAGCACACAAAAGTCAATTTTGCGTAATATAGGACCTTTAAAGAGAGAAATTCCATTAATTAATTAATTTCCACTTACATGGCTTGTCTGAAATATTCAATAGCCATGCAATATAAATGTTATATAGTTATCTTATGCTGCATATCTCAATAAGAATAGTCTATGCAAATAATGTGCTGCCACTGCCCATGTGGACCATTGCTTTAATGCGCATTTTATAATAGCTATGTCATTACAACCATGTTTCCATGACTGATCTCCGGTGCTAAAAACAGACCAATTTATTCAACCCCTCAATCCTATTCAAACTCTGACATTGTTCACATGTTACTAATCAGACCCAAACCGTGCCATGTTCACCAGGCTGATCCTTGGAACCCTGTATACCAGCCAGGAATGTCCCCACCCAACAGCTGTGGGACAATGCCACTCATTCCTCTGACTTTGTGCACAGGGGTGGCTATTTTGTTGAGCTGGGCGATATGCCAAAAAATATATATCTTTGATTTGATCATCTGGACATCCTAATATTAAAACTGTACTGGTGTAGCAGGTGCTGGTACTTTTATTATAAAAGCATGATTACTGAAGTGCAATAAATAACATGGAAAACAGTACTGTGATGTATTAAATTTGCTATTACAAAAGTAGGGCCCAAAAAAGAAACCACAATTTTGAGATCACCTTTTAACAAATTACTGCTGAAACCAATAGCATCAACATAGAAAATAATAATCTTTGCTGACCACCTCATACGGACTTATCAGAAGGCATCTGATCCTGTCCTCTCAATACCCTTGCAGCAAGCTAGAGTATGAAGGATAAAAGGAAAGGGGTGACACCTTCATTGGCACACCACTTCCCTGCATGAGTGCCTGTTGTCTTAAATGTACTGTCTGTTTTCTAGTCTTGGCTTTAGTTCAATATTTTATTGATGCAGCGGCACTCTCCAGCTCTCCTTTTCATTACGAGTCTCTTCTTCCCCCCTTGCTGACACATGCTGGGTGTAATCAAACCTAAAGAGTCACCAGACGTTCAGGGCTACTTCCACTTGAGAGGGTAGCTTTATCTATTCATTTTACTGAGACGATTATTTAACCTTGATGTATTGAGGATATATATGTATGAGCTCTACATAGACTACCCACAGTGGATGAGTGAGAGAGGAGAGGTGTCTCTGTCTCTATTGTCCACACTGTGACTAAACAGTTCAAATAACGGTTCCCATAACTGAGCCTGAGATGCAACAATACTCAATATAATATGCACTTATTCAATACAATGCTCACAATAAAAACTCAATACTTTCACAGAGAACAGCTCTATAACTCTACTATATTTGAATGGAGAAGAGATGGAGAGAAGAAGAGTTGTTTTTGTTCTTTTGAAGGCTAGAATGCATTGAAATTGTATCAACATTGTGACTATGCATCCCTACTGATCATAAGAATGAGATAAAAATGTATCTATATTTTTGGTGTCAGATTCTTTTGTAATTCCTATGTGAGGCATTTACAAAGTCTAAGATGGACTGTGTTTAAATGAAAGGAAAGAGGAGACTAGATTAGCCGGGTGTCTGTCCTCAGACACTGTCTGAAGGAAGACAGAACTGCAGCCTCCTCGTCTCCATCAAAGTCAATCAGCTCTCATCTCAATCAGCACAGTGCACTATTCTCTTTATTCTTCTGCATGACACATTTATCAGGGGAAGAAAGTGCTTTGGTCCATACTTATTAAAAAAAAATGTATTTCTGTCACACAATGCTGAGCTAGACAAGCATAACATGAGTCTGGTTTGTGCTGTTTGACCTTCTCTTTGGCCAAAACAGCACAAACAGAAACAGAACTTCTGCAAAATGAGAATGTACTCAACAAAATCACACACTAATAATCACAAATGTGTTTTATATTTTAAATTTAGAAGCTCAAAAATGTACCAGAATGCAGGTAATCTGTTAATAACATGCTGAGGATTTCACATTTAAGTAGTAAAGTACATAACAGATGAACTGTACTGATACAGCAGTGTTTTTACAGTGTGGGTGCCTGTATAGCTGTGATCATTTTTGGTGCTTTGGGGGACATACTCTTGGTGACAGACTAGGGAAGTCATTTTGAGAACAGTACAAAAGACCACAGCAGTCATCATTTATCACTGGACTGAAAGTGTCAAGGTGGGCAGCAAACACTGTCACACAAGAACACTGTCTGATCAATTTGCCAAAATTAAAAGACACTTGCCAATCCCATAAATCAATGTGATGCTTCATTCAATACGAATCAGTATGTTTGCCTCATGATTACACATACACACTTTATAATGATTTATTGTCAACCATGTCTAATGCACTGCCTTGGCACTTAAGTAATTGTGGTAAGAAATTTCTGTGACACAAAGGTAGTACAGCCTTTGGTCTAACACATTTATCCCAGAGACACATTTCATCAAAGAAGCTGTTTCTGTTAAATGGTAACATCACATCAGTGACATGTTCAGCTGCTCAGTTAATTACATCTGACATGCATTTTCAAATCCAGTCATCTAAAAACTGTTAAGTACTGATTTGACAGCATGTGTAAACATAGAAGATATGCACATGTAACCAATATCAACAACACACAAACAACAGCTTGAAAAGGAAAAAATTGAAGAATATGAGAAAGCCCCATGGACAGCAGGATTAGAACTAGTAATAGAACTGTGTGCTTATTGGCGAGTAATCCTACCTCTCACTGTTAGGTTTAATCTATTGGAACAGATCAGACTTCCTTGTGTTAACGTTGAGGCTTCATGTAACTGTAAAATGACAGAAAAAAGAATAAGTGAAGTCAGGCCTCCTGGAAAATTTATTAGAGCCTCTTCAACCAAAGACAGAACAAAACAAAACAATGACAAAAACAGTGAGGTGTAACATTAACCGAATTAACACAGAAACACTTAAACATTTAGACAGTTGCAGACAGTACAAACAAAACTGTCCCATTACTCAATCACTGCTTCATCCTCTCCATTTAACCTTCCATCAGACTCTCTTTCCATATTTTCAGTGAGGGAGTATTTGGTTCTGTATCAGTTTTTGAGCAAACTGATATAAAAGGAGGGTATTATGGAAAGTAGATTTTTTGGAACTTTCTACCATTCTCTCTGTCCTCTCTCCCAAAACATACCTGAAGAGGTTTTATCCATGCATCCATGCCTGTTTCAGTAATTTAGCTCTCTCCTAGGCACTATTCGAACCTTCCTTACGGTTAATTATAAAATTCTGTCCAATGCTCAGCATACAAGCCTACATCACCCACACATCAGTTCTCAACAACTTGTCATGCCTGATGCAATGTGCAGTAGTTTCATTAGTGGGATGCATGCTGATTGTGATTGCGCTCTGAAGGGAAGTAATTAAGCACAGAGGGGAGACTTAGGGCATCAAAAATGGAAGTGAAAGTTATAAAACATGTTAATACATTGTTTTTGGCAAATATAGCATTTTTACAACAATAAAAGGTAATATGGTGATATAAATATGTTATGTGTTAGCAATTAAAATCCTTCAGAAGTAAAATGCTCCCTTAAACAACAAAGCAGTGAATCACAATATTACAATATCATCTAACTGGAATAATGTCAAAGAGATGAGATCATTATTTGATTTTTAGCACCATATCACCTAGGCCAACATAGATATAACTGACTGGAGTGAGTCAAAAGCAACAGGACTACTGTGTAAATCATGGGGGATCATTATTGCTAGTGTGTTGGATAAGACAGGAACGCGGAGGTCTGGCTGGTCACACAATGATTTGACCCCAGCCCAGTGTCACCACTTTGGGCTGACTTCTGCAGCTCCAGCATCAGTCACTGTTCACTGAAGGTAATAGGTTCTGCCTTTAACCCAGAGTACAGCACGTTTCAATGAGCAAACAGTGGCTGTATTCACTGTGACTACACTATGATTTGTATGGTTTTTACACAGTGAATGCTGCAGCAGAACAAGTCTTTTTTCCAGCTGGCTGACACTCATCAAATCAGTATTCTTTCCAGATGAAGAGATTATATCATATGACTCCAGGGGGGTGCATTTACTGTCAAGATATCTGTTAAAATATGACTTTTCACTTGTGCCTTTACTGACGTTGTCCCTTTGTGCTTCTCCTGCAGATCAGATGCAGACCTGGAATATGACAGCTATCATGATGATTGCTATGACAGGTGAGACAGACAGTGTTACAGTGCAGTCACTGGCAGCTTGCACAGCTAAGAGGAAGCCCAAGTATCATAGAGATCATGACATACATCACATGGTTCCCTGTCAGCATTGTATTGGTGGTCTTTAGTCTCTCCCCATTTTCTCTCGCTATTTCATGTACAGTACTATTTTTTATAACAATGCATACAGAACCAGATCATCAAAGCCAACTTATGAAAAATGTCCACTGTTAGTACTCAGTTCAGCCAGGGTCAGAGAGGTAACAAATACCAAGATGGTAAAATGGTAAAATTAATGAATTTAATCAAAAAGGAATGTAAAACGTAAATTAAACAAAAGAGATCTAAAATATTTACACAAAACATAATTTACAAGGTTTAAACAAAAGCATAACAAAGGCCAAGTTTAATAAAACAAATTGTACAATTACAGGATGAAATCTTGACAAAGTCAGTCCTAACTCATCGAGAGTCTCAGAAACACAGAGTCACAGTAGTGACAAAAAACAAGACACAGTTTACACAGACTAAACAAGTCCCTCAGAGTCAAGCACAGAGACTTGACAGAGACAGTGTAACACACAAAATGACACAAAATGGCATAAACAGCACAAAGAGCAGCCACTCAGAATGGCAGGTGTGGCCATACCAGCTTGTCAAAGCCTGATCCTGTCAGATCTCAGAAGCTAAGCAGGGCTGTGTCTGCTTAGTACTTGGATGGGAGACTGCTGGAAAAATCAGGTGCCACAGTGGGGAACCAGTCACAAAAACTGTTGTTGTGTCCTTAGGTAAGGCACTTCACCCACATTGCCTAGTATGAAAGTGGTGTGTGTATATATGTAAATATATATTTATATTTTTTTCACACACACACACACACACACACACACACACACACACACACACACACACACACACACACACACACACACACACACACACACATATATACTGATTTATTATTATTATTATTATTATTATTATAGGTGAGCAGGGCTTAAATAGGTGGGGCTGCAGCAGGTGTGCTCATTGGCAAAGTGGTGACATCATGCTCCTCCAATCAGGGAGAGGGGGAGCAGGGACCATAAGCCAATGGGGAACAGTGCTTCAAAGCAGTCCACCAATCCAGGACAAGAACTCACACAGAGGAAAACAGACATCAGCAACAGACGAGACTTAACACAAAATATTCCACAAGGGAAATGAGCTAAAGGCCTGGGGCCAGAACATAACTACATTTTCAGTGGACATTGCATGCGTATAATTGTTTTATTAGTAAATAAGACAGAAATGTGACTTCACTGTTATAATGTACCAAGTTGACAGAGCCACTTTGTGTGCACACTAATCCATAGGGACAACACACACAGTTTTCCCTGTAATCCCTGTCGTCTAGGGTCTCTCATTGTCTGAGCTTTGGTTTATGAGATGACACTTCAAAGCCAGCATAGCAACACATTGTCTATCTAATGCAAACAACTCTAAAGTACTTTAAACTCTTCTAAGTCTTTGGCTTCTCTGTCCCAACACATGGACAGTGCTCAAAGCCTATAATCTCACACATTTATGGGGCTAATGCACTGCAGCCATATGTGACATTGGGGCGCCTGGTTTTAAACAGTACTGATAGTTTGATGTGCGGACATTGTTTAACCCATTACATGGACACAGAGAAAATGTCCGAACCGCAGGCTGGCTGATCTGCCAGTTTATATGCCTCGCTCCTACAGTTGAGCTGAAAACACCATCACAGTTGTAAGAGCTCTCCTGGCAATGAACAAACCATAGCTACAGGGCTCAGCTTCTCTAGCCAAGTAAAGTTAAGATTGATAACCATCGCTTGAGTAAATATCAATGTCTGCTTCCCAGCAGGAAATGAGTTGGTTCTGGCATACCTTTATTAAGTACACTCATAAAATTAACATGAAATATTTTACTGGGTTTTCTTCTTAAAGTAATAAACTTTCACAATAAAGAAATACCACTTTCAAATGAAAAAGTGTAGTACTGGTGGGTGTGTTGGCAAAAACAGGTGACACATGGTTGAAACAAACTTAATGCTTTCTGCTTTTCCCATTTTTCTTCGTTAAACCTGTTTCACTATATACAAACACTAACTGTCCTATTGGCAGATGCAGTTGACTGACTGCAGTGAGACCAAATCATTTGGTCTCATTCACAATTTGAGCATTGTATGTTTCTGTAAGCACTATGAGGTTGGACTGATACAGCCACTGTCAGCAGCACTACCAGCCTGGAGGGAGCTATTGATTGGCCCTGACAGAACCAATTACATTCAGTGACGGATAAAGACATGGAGCTGTCCACTGGGAGGAGGCAATGTCAAGAAAAGAAAATGAACCTAAAATAAAAATTCAAGTATAAAGCATTTTTTCTTAGCTGACATCCCTTCAGAGTAAAATTGTCCCTATAATTTCATAGGAAGGAACACTCCGTCTCTCGTGTCTTCTCAATTCTAACTATTGTATGTATATTTAAGCTTTGTACAAACACATTTTTTGTTGTTTTGTTGTTTAAAATGTTCTCTAGAGTGTATGATGCCCAGCGTGTCCCAGCCTCCTCATCTCCTGTCCTGCTGGGGGCCAGTCCAGCCAAACGTCCACGCTCCTCCTGCTATTCCTCCAGACACAGACACAGTCGGGACAGAAGCCACTCCAAATGCTCCAGAGCTCACTCTTCAAGTTCAAACACATCCAAGTGTAAGTCCCACCATTAGCAGGTGTCAGAAAATAATACCAATCAGACCTCCCTAACAATGCTCCCTATTGTGCTGCAGTGGGCCTGGAGGAGCTGCAGGTGATAAAGAAGGAGCTGACTCTGATAAAGACACAGATCGATGGGCTGCTCGACAGTCTGGACAGGATGGACACCCAGAGGACAGAGCACAAAGGTGAGCTGCTCATTCATGAAGACAATCCACGCCTCTGGATATGGGATTGACTGATAGGAAATCTATAAACACTTCAAAAACATTTTAAAAAGGTCTTAGGCAAAATTCCAGATATCTGCTTAATTAACAACCAAATTATGATTATGATGACATATTAACAACATAATATTACTCTTCTCCATTACACTGTAACTTTCAACACAAAATATTTTCCTTAATTTTTCCTTATACTACTTCTGAAATAGCTCAGTTTCATTCATTAATATCTGTTCAAAAAGTATCTAGTTTAGTATCGATTATATGGGTATCAATATTTTTGACTCCTTTGAAGTTCTGGGGCTCATGTTTCAAAGACAGCTGTGCAAAGAAGGTTCAAAGCAGAGAAACCTGCAGCCCTCTTGTGGACACTAATCAGTAACGCAGTTGAAGTACAGACTCATCCTTCTATTAATACATACCAGTAAATGTACTCAATAAATGCACCAAAAATGTTAACAATAAATAATAAATAACATCTTAAAATTTCAATGTACAAGAGTTATCATCCAACTACCATTTGTCCTATTCATTTGATTGACCTTGGTGTTTCACAGTTCTTATCTCTCTCTTATAATGTCATTCACTCATTCTGTAACTCTGCTTTAATATTGATTGTCAGTCAATCATGTACAACCACCCATGACATGAGTCCTGCTCTGTTTTGCGCTCATTTCACATTTTTATCCCAAACTCTCCAGTCTCTAAAATTTGTCACATCTGCTGTGTGCGATGTTCAGGCTCTCCCGTGAGAGAGGACAGTCCAGCTGGCTCTCAGTACTCTCAGCAGTACTCATCAGCCAGCAGCCCAGAACACTCCCGCTCCTCACTGTCCCCTCCCTACCGCCACCGAATCCACAGAGAGAGCCCCGAGCTGGAGACAGATGACCACCACACAGTATGCTTCTAACACACTCATTGTGGTTTTAATTGTATCTTTTTATTACATCTGACCTACTTAAGAACCAAATGAAATCACTTCTTTTAACCAAAACAGTTTAAGTTTTAAGTCAGTGAGATTTCATGTCCCTTGTGACTAAATGGTCTGCTAAATGGTTTTCTTGTCCCCTTTGATGTTCCAGGTGATCAATCATCACTCTGAGGAAGAAATATGAACATATTGAATCTGTACAGAGGAGATCATGGAGCAAGTGCCAAACGAGAATGAGAACTATCATCAGACAAATGTCTTTAACAGTATCAACAAAGACAAGATTATTTTTACAGCTTGACTGGACACCTCAATTATATCTTGTTTTCTTTTTTTAAAGAAGACTGCTTCTCCCTGGCACTACTTAGTAATAAACTATAACTTGACTTTGTGTTACAAAATGCAGAAGCGGAAGGCACCGCTTCTTTATAGTACCATTTCATTTACATGTTTTTATTTTTGTAAGATGGCAACATAGCATTTCTGTGTAGAGAGGGTTAAAAAATAAATTTCATCACTGAAACTCAAATACAAAATTACTCAAACAAATCAAAATACAACTTTCAGTATGCAAATAAAGGGAAAACCATGACACAGTTAAAACATATATGCAATTATATTTTTCATAATATGTCTCCATTAAGATAATCTGATAATCTGAACCATACAAGGATAATTTAAAAACAAATATTTGAAATAAAACCTAAGATTTGACAAATAATATAATGTAACAGAAGGATCTCTGTCTGAACAACAATAAGACCTTGTGATATCAACAATCAACAATAAATTAGACACTGTAAAATAAACACATACATAACACCTAATCAACAAATCACAGCATGCTTATTTTTTTGGTTTAAACAATAAACCTTTGGCCATTTTTAATTGTTTTTTTTTAGTTACGCCTCCAGGATCTTAGGTAAATAAATACTTAAGTGCATAAAGACATGAATGACTGTACTGTGATTCTTGATTCTCATCATTATACTGTAAGACCTTATAATGCTGGGTCTTTAACTGGCACTTTAACAAGTAAAGGTCGAACCATTGTACACTAATGCATAGGTATCTAAAATGGTCTGATTTAGAAATACTTTGAGTTTTCTACGTTGATGTAAGATATGGTGTTTTATGTTCATGTTTGTTAGGCTATTTAGATAAGCTGGGTGAAATGATCATTGTATCAGTAATAAAAGTATTTTTCCTATTGCCTACAAACGTGTGTGTGTTTTTGGAAATTTGAATTGCTTTCTGTAAGTTTTCCTGAATTGGTTTTAGCCCAGAGGCAGCCCTCTGATCAGCAGTAAGATCAAAGTTCACATTGTGACAAAGAGCTGCACAACATTCAGCTACATTTCACAGAATTAAGCCCGTTTATGCGGAGACTCACTGCCATATGACAGTTTGCAAAATGTCATGTGGTGAATGATAGTAATCGGATTATTAAAATAAACCATGAAGTCTGAATTTTAAACTAAACTCAGTGTCCAAGATTGATGTTGACAGATCAGAGCAAATGAGTGCACAAAGACTGCAGCAGCTCAAAGGACACATTCTGTCTGAACACGAGGTAATCTATGACAATTGTTTATATAATTTCTTTCAAACTGACTATTTTCTATGAACTGCTACAAAAAAATTCCTAATTTTGTTGACAGGTAACATCAATGGCTGGTCCGGTGAGTCCCCTATCGACACATGTGCTCAACATTGCCCTGGGGGTTCCTGGTTCGAATGTGTCCCTAGGTCTTTATCGACAAGATACTTCATCTGAATTTTGGAGTTTAATTACAACTGGGTACAACAACAAATATTCTAAATGTTTTATTAAACTAAAGGTGTAACTCTATGTACTATGTGTTGCAGTGAATCTGCCACCTGTTTGTCTTCATGGAGATATTACAGTTTGGTGTGTAATGTTTCGCAGTATGGCATTTAACTAAACCTTTTATGGAATAAACAGTATTGCATTAAACATGGGCAGTATGGCATTAAACATGTCTTACTCCATAATAGATTTTGTTTAATGCTATAGTGTGGATCATCGGGCCAAACACTGACATGGAGACAACAGGTGGCAGACCCCCATCAAAAAATAAAAAGTTACATATTTTACCTCTCTTAAGTCTATTAAAAAAAAACAAAAAACTTACAGGACCACAAATGCCGATGGCCGTTGCCCAGGACTAATTACAAAAGAAATGTTCACATCTGGTGTGTACAAATTACGATTTGAGACCCAGCAGTACTGGGAGAGTATTGGAGAGACACCATTTTACCCTTACGTTGAGGTACTGAAATATTTAAATAAATAATTAGCATTTAAAATCTACAATTTCTTTTATTTTATTTATGCTTACTTGTTTGGGTTCCAGATTGTCTTCACTGTAAGAGACCCTGGACAGAAGTACCACATCCCACTGCTGATGAGTCGCTTCTCATACAGTACTTACAGAGGAAGCTAGAGACAGTCTCCATTGGTCCAACTGTTTGTTGATAGGCATTTTGCTACACAGTAAACTACACGTGTGCCACTCTAAATTAGGAATACACTAGAAAAATGTCATGTAGTCTTTTCTGACGCCTGCATAATACCCAGCTGCATGGTCCGATTTGTTCACTAATAAAATGACTGTGCAATGAGTATGTGTCCCTTCTTTGACATTTACATGCCTGTATTTCACTGCCATCAAGCTAAAGGTAAATGGTGAATGCACAATTAGCGTTATTCTTTAACAGTCAGTGCGATTAGCTTACGTTTTGCCTCAAGATACTTACTCTTCGCTCGATTGCCGCCTCCATCGTGCTCTCTTTATCTGAGATCGGCTACTTACCCCTGGCTCGTACTCCGATGGGCCTTGCCTGCTGGACAAGTTGAGTAATTTTAATCTTTGCAGAACCATCAAACAGTAAAGTTTATTTTGAAGAGCATAATAATGGCAGACGAAGAACTGGAAGCAATAAGGCGGCAAAGAATGGCGGAGCTACAGGCGAAGCACGGGGTGAGAAAATAAGGTCCAAAACGTGTCCACCTTATAAGGAGATGCTGAGCTCACACTGCTAAAGCTAGCTAGTAGCTTCTCTTGCTACAGCAGACAGACCTTTTACAGTTTTTATCCTTTTTAACCCCAGATAGGCTATTCTACGTGGCAAGCATGTACCGCATGAAATGTGAATCAGTGTCATGATACTGAAGTTGAATGTATATGAAGTTAATCACTCATCATGATCTGCAGCACACACCCCTTCCATCTCTTTTACGCGTATGCAATGTTTTGTAAAGAAAACTATAAATAATAATGAAAATATTAATAAAGAGAATTTGGCTGTTTTATAAAGTTGACTGTATGACATATCTACGGGGGCAATACAGTATAATAGACATGCACAGATTGACAGTGTCAGATGAAGTTTCTGTGTTAGTTCTGCAACTAAAAATGGCTTACAATTAGACTAAACCAGGTCTAAACAGAGACTTATATATAAACCATGGACAGCGTAGTTCTAAACAATGATTAACCCAAAAGAGTACAGGGGCATACATTTCTCTAAATAAAACAAATGCTTAAACCACATTTTTATACCACCACAGACAGCCCACATGGCAGTTTGAGAAATAGTGACTTAATGTACTGTAACAGTTAATTAATTCAAACACTTTGCCACTATTGTGAGTGACTGTAGTAGTAGCAGCTTGTGCCTTATTACTGAACAAACTGCAGCCGGACCTCAAGAGAGCAGAGCCCACCTGGGGCTATTATGTTTGGCCCTGAGATCACTGAACAGAGTAATCGAGCTTTTCATAAGACCACCAAATTAAATAGGCAATGCACAACTATTGCTGCCAAAATTTTACAAAATATGGAAGAAAATACTGCTCAAAAACTTTTTAACACAGCTTTAGTAGCATTTTAGATCATTGTTTTATACAAAAAATGCTTAACTTGAGAAACTGTTGAATGCTCATGTATATAGCTTAGAAGCAGCAATCCTGTACTCTACACAGTAATCTCTCAATAACCATGACTTTGAGGCAAAGTGCAATATTACCTGTATATTCAATATATTATACAACTTTAAAAATCTACTCAAAAAAGTACAACTGCCAAAATATCTCAATTATAGAAATGTGAATATTAGTAATTACTAAACTTGTAAAAGGGTGATGAATGGAGTGAAAGACCAGCAACCTTGCCTATGGACAGCTTAAATAAGTAAATACCCCTGAAAATAAATATCCGAGGTCTCAAAGGTTGTCATCTGGTCAAAACGCACAAGACATCTGATGTCTTTCTCAATTCTGAGGACATTGGTCTGCATAGCTGTTTAGAAATAATATTTATATGATCTATCTTTTAGGATGGCTCGAGTAACCAACAAGGAGAGGAGGCAAAACAAAGGTATGATATTGCATCACCATAAAAAGTAATGTCTGAAACCTGATTATAATCACTTATATAATTGCAGGGAGGCTGACATGAGAAATACAATATTGGCTCAAGTACTTGATCAGTCTGCCCGTGCCAGATGTAAGTACGCTACGTTTGTAATTTTTATAAGAACTGAAAAATGTATAATATGTATATAAGAAATGTAATACTAAATAAAATCATGCATTTGTTTGGCTTTAGTGAGTAACCTTGCTTTAGTAAAGCCAGAGAAGGCCACAGCTGTTGAGAACTATCTAATTCAAATGGCTCGTTTTGGACAGTTAGGTGGAAAGGTAAAAAATAAAGTTGACATATGCTGAGTATGTATTAAATAGTTGTAACATTGTATATTACCTTTTTCTTCTTTTTTTTTTACAGATTTCAGAGTCTGGTTTAATTGAGATTTTAGAAAAAGTTAGTCAGCAAACAGAGAAAAAGACTACTGTCAAAGTAAGTTCACCGAGGCTTTCTTATATTTGTGTTTTTATTGTTTTTCACTGAATCGTCTAACAACAACACATACCCTGTACATATCAGTTTAACAGGCAGAGGGTGATGGACTCAGATGATGAGGATGACGATTACTGACCCGAGATCCCTAGAGTGAGAGAGCAAATTGCATTCAGATTTTTTTTGTTGGAATTTGGAGCTCCTGTGATGCTATGATGGCAACTCGTTATAGGACGGCCTCCCAACATGGACGTTCGAGGTTTCAAGGCATTTTCTTTTCTGTATTTGTTCAGTTTGCATTGGTACCCAATTTTCATCTATATAATAATCACATTTAAATTCACAATTGCTTTTTTACCTATTGAAACATTATATCATAATCTATTGCCAAGTTTACAAAAAAAATAAAAATAAAAAACTTTATTACTAAAAGGGTGTTTTTTTAGTTTATGCCTAAACCACTATTTAAAGGTACAGTGTTTAACTTTCTGGAGGTGGCACATCACTTGCATGATTCCAAAGAATCAGGGTAAGTATGTATATGGATAAAAAGTTACATACTGTGGGTTTAACAACACTGCCTATTTGATGTGATTTATTTAATTATTTGATAATGAATTGAACTCATTAGATATAATAGTGTCCTTGTAAGACAATATATATTTATAATTATACTGTCAATGGAACGGATGGGATTGCCTTATTTTCACACGACTGTGGTCAGAGGAATTTCATTGGCTGTATTTCTGTTGTGTGTCAAAGCGGTGAATTTTGATTGGTTTAAGTAAAGACCACATGATTCCCACAAACCAATCAGAAGTCACGTTCAGATGAGACGCTGCCATGAAGGCTATCCCATCGTGTAGCGAGGAGGGTTAGCTGCACTGTGTCAACTGCGAATCTAAAGGACAAGGCGTTGAAACTTTATTTTATTTTATTATTATAACTTAGTTGTAATAAATAATGTCTGACGATAATACAGTCAAGACAAGTATGGTTACGTGCACCGCTCCTGTGAACATTGCTGTCATCAAATACTGTAAGTAACTCCCCCGGTTCTAGTAATCTGCTGCCTAGGGCATGTTTTACTTAAGCTTCTAAAACATACAACATACACACTGGTGTGTTATTCTCACTATTCTGTCCTGTGCTTAGGGGGCAAGAGAAATGAAGAACTGATTCTACCTATAAACTCATCTTTGAGTGTCACTTTGCATCAAGATCAGGTATTACCATCAGTGTAGTCTATGATTGGGACAGTTGGAGAATATTTGGTTGGGTGACGGTCAGTAATTTTTTCCCCCCCAACATTCAACATTTATAAGGCTAAATTTTGTATTGTTTCTACTTTGTCAAGCTTAAAACAACCACCACAGTTGCAACAAGCAGATCCTTTGAGGAGGACCGAATATGGTTAAATGGAAAAGAAGAGGACATAACCCACCCAAGACTACAGTCATGTCTCAGAGAAAGTAAGTTATGTTAATATTAATGTTAGGATTTTTTATAATTATTTTAATTTTATTTCTCTCAAATCTGTTCAGTTCGCAGACTTGCAAGGAAAAGACGCAATAAGACTAACCCTGATTTGGATGTAGCTGGTTTGTCTCACAAGGTCCATATTTGCTCCATCAACAATTTCCCGACTGCAGCTGGACTCGCTTCATCAGCTGCTGGCTTTGCTTGTTTGGGTTTGTATTTTTTATTTTTATTTATTTTTTTATGTTTAAGTTAGATTTCTAGCTATTCATATGGTATTTTTATTCTTACTATTTTCTTTTTAATACTATGAACCAGATATTACGTGTTCTTGATAAATATTGAATTGAATTGAATTATGTTTGATATTTCTTTGGTTTATAGTTTACACACTTGCTCGTGTGTTTGGTGTGGAAGGGGAGTTGTCTGCAATTGCACGACAAGGTTCTGGCAGTGCTTGTCGAAGTATGTATGGGGGATTTGTCCAGTGGATGCTGGGACAGCGAGACGATGGCAAAGACAGTTTGGCCCAACAGGTGGCGCCAGAGTCTCACTGGCCTGAACTCAGAATCCTTGTGCTTGTTGTAAGACATTCCGTTTGTAAGTAGAGGATGTGCTGGTCAATAAATTAGTAATCATGTAACATTTTGCAGGTGAGTGCTGATCGGAAGCCAATAGGCAGCACTTCAGGGATGCAAACCAGTGTAAAAACAAGTTTATTGTTGAAGGTACACAAGCCCGTCAACAGTACTGTACTTTCCCTCATTCTAAAGCTAAATGTTAGATAACAGTTGTTCATTGTTTTGCAGCACCGAGCAGAGTGTGTTGTTCCAAAAAGGATGGAAGACATGATTGAAGCAGTTTGCAAAAAGGATTTTTCTACCTTTGCTGAATTAACAATGAAAGACAGTAACCAGTTTCATTCAACTTGTCTTGATACATATCCCCCAATATTCTACCTGAACAGTGTGTCCCAGCAAATTATCAGTGTAGTGCACCAATACAACAAGCACTATGGAGAGACTAGGGTAACTATTTCAGGTTTACTGTAACCGTTTCAGTAATCACAATCTTTTACAGACTTATGGTTTGGTTTCAAAACTATATTGCTCAGGTCTCATTTTCTTACAGGTGGCCTACACATTTGATGCTGGCCCCAACGCTGTCATCTTCACTCTAGAGCAGCATGTTCCTGAGTTTGTTCAAGTTGTTAAACATGTCTTTCCTTCAGAAAGCAATGGTGGAAAGTGTGTATACTGAGATTGTTTTGTTACATTATATATGCTTTAACAAACATACTTATCCATCCCTGTATTTGATGCAGGTTTATAAAAGGTCTTCAAGTTGATGATACCATTCTCTCTGAGGAACTAAAGCAGAGTATTGGCTTGGAGCCTATGCCAAATAGAATAAGCTATATTATTAGCACTCAGGTAAGCACACTTAAATTCATAGCCTACTTATGTACATGAGTGCATTATTTTAAAAATTTCAGAGCTGGTCTGAATGCTTTTATATTTATTTTATATTTATTTTAACATATGTTTTTACTCTTTGCTCCTTTTCCACACTTGTATTAGGCTGGACCTGGACCACGAATTGTGGAGGATCATTCACAGCACCTTCTTGGCTCTGATGGAATGCCAAAGAAAACTCAGTGATGTTGTTGATTATGAAAGAAAACCAAAATAGCTGTCCCATGTTAATTGTTAGGTTATAACTATAATTATAGTAATTTTTAGTCATGTATTCATAATTTTAACTAAAACCTACAAATGCAGGAGACATTTGACCCGATGCATTGTTACATATTTTAATAAATTCATATTTTGCCTATTCCATTTTCCATCTGTCTTGAGACTGATTGTACATTCGTATGTCTTGTAAGTCGTTCTCTCTAGAATTACAATACCGCATTTTTTATATTAATTTAATTATAGTCCCTAATGCCCCTTTTCGGTAACTGGACTCATTGACGGTATTAGCATTTCGTCCATTGGTTTCACTTGTTTACCTTTTACTGGTGAGATTTGGCCCCGCCTTGTCTTCGGATATGACGAGTCCACTGGGGATTGCTGTATGCCCTGCCCACTCTGCGTTTCAACACACCTTACATCTGTGAAGTAAAACTGCTTCCTCGTTTCATCAAAAGTTTCAGTCGCTCTTCTTAAGACCTTTGTCGGTTTTTAAAAGTGAGGTTTGTTCATTAAGCTATGGGGAAAATAGAGTGGGCGATGTGGGCCAACGAGCAAGCGCTGGCCTCCGGACTGAGTAAGTAGCTTAATGAAACTATACATAAGCAAAGTGCAATTTGTTAAATAGAACGAATAATAATATTACATAAACCACCTAGACCAGATTTCTGAGATCCTAAAAATGTATGGATTTTTTAGTTCTCCTCACAGGTGGCATTGTGGGGGTTGCTGGACAATTCAGAGGCTGGGAGTTTGCAGCCTATGCTGTGTATCCTTCTCAGTGTGCTGTTGTTATACCTAGTAAATGTATTATCCATACTCTTCCTTTTGTCAGAGTGTAATGAGAATTAGTGTGAATATTTTGGTCAATCCATGAAAAACTGAGGAGCAGGTACTAGGCCACTTCTGTTGAGAGCCTTAACATGTCTGTAGTGCTGCTGGGTCCTTTGTGTGTCTCCTTGAGTATCCAAGAGGCAAGAGGTCCAAGGGCACTAGTGTGGGGCGGACGTGAGTATGCCCCTGATAATGTGTTCACATCTATGTTTAATATGCTGCTGATATAATATCTAGCTTTGTGTTCTCAGGGGCCAATATTGCTTTACTGTTTGTGTTAAATCCTTTGGACCCCTGACCAGAAACTACTATGTTCGGGCTTTTTTACTTGCAGTGTAAGTTTTTCAGATGCTTGTCAGCTTTGTTCTTTTCAAGTGCTTTAAAGTTACATTCACCACTCCTTGAAATTAATAGTTTATTGTTTATTTCCTGTAGGTTGTGTGTTCCTGGAGGGTTTATGCTTGCTACTGTTCTTGGATGTGTCTGCCTTGGGATTGCAAGTCTCATATACCTGGGAGTAAGTTTTTTATTACAAATTATAAAGGAGAAGCTTAATTTATGTGGATTTAGTTGTGAGTTGAACCAGGAACAGAAGAGTTTAAAAGAAGGAAATGGTTTCAGGAAAGACGCATTTCATTACTGGTATTTCAGTTAAGACATGCCACAATGGGAGTGACTAAATGCTTCAACTTCCAGACGTAGTAACCTAATCGTAAAGTTTGATGATTAATATTGTAATTAAAGACAAATTATTTAATGTAGTCCACTGTCTACTGAAATGTGATAAATGTTGCCTACATACATTTCAATACAATGTTAAAGGTAAGAATTGCATATGATCACACATACTGTTCTAAAATCTGCTTTAAGTTAACTTTCTTTTTTAAATTAATGGTTAAAGATGCACAATGTACCTTTCCGGTGGAGATTTTGTCACTAGGGAGATGTAAATGCTTTCCCTGGAGAGTTCCACAGTATGGTATTAAACTTGACTAACATGCATTTAGTTAATTATGGTTCTTATGGTTCTTATCTCTTTGGAGTTGATACGTTTGATGCCATACTGTGGAACATTTCAGGGGTCTCCATGGAGACAAGCAGGTGGGGGACCATTTAGCACAAAAGTTGCATAGTGCACCTTTATTGTTGAGGACATGTTTACTGTAGAAAAAATTGGTTTGGGCATTTTCTTTTTTTTTAGGCAGCTATACGAGGTGAACAATGGGAGCCAATTCTTCCACGACAACAGTCACCGAAACCCACAGCAGAGAGCATCAAAAGTCCTCCATCCAACCCCCCTCCCCGACCTCCCCCAGAGACGCGGAGGAAAAGAGTGGACGACTTGGAGGCCGCAGCCTATGAAAACCCTCTCCCCGTTACTGCCAACGAGTAACAACATTTTACTGGGGTCAATTGAATGTTATATTTTATATCTACATCAGTGGACTGCTGCCAGTATCTGTTCGCATAGTGGTTTTAGAAATAAGCAAAATGATGTTGTGGTTGTTGATCTGATTTTATTGGATTTGATCTTATTATCTGAAATGTCTGTATGAGTGTATATTATACTATACTGTTACTCAAAGTTGTGTCTTTTATTGTGATGTAGTTATTTAAATGTCATTTTTATGTTTAGTCAACTTCCCCTTTCACATTGTCACTTTCGTCAGATTAGAAACTCCCTTGGTCATCTGAAGCAAAATACTCCCACTGTTATTGGAGAAAACTTAACCAGTTGTGATAAAAGAGATAATATGCTGTGAGAACAATGCACTTCTTTTGCACCTTTTTTCTTTGACCACATTTGACCTGTGAAAGCAGTACATGTTGAAACATGGGCCTACTTCCTCATGTAAGACAGTAAGACATTGCACTTCATATTTTCCAGTGTCCTCAAAAGCACGTTTACTAATCAATGCCCATAGGGGGCAGTAATGGGATTCAGATCCAGTGGTGCTGTAGAATTGAAACTAAAGAGAAAGCGTGTGGCTCTGTCGTTCGTAGACTGTATGGTGTCGAGTTTGTTTTGGTAACATTTTAACTTATTGAACACGCTTTATTTTAAGTGTGAATCATGTCCACTCGGGCTTTGAGAAGGTTGAAGGGGAAGCAGCGGGGTCAGGAGGCTCTGAGCCCCGGGGACCTCACTGAGGGGGATAGTTTTGAGGAACAGGTTGAGGAGGAGGGGGCAGAGACGGCTAATGTCCCTGTATCGTCCAGCAGCCGAAAAGCAAAGAAGAACAAGGGTCAGAAGAACTTCAGCAACATTTATGAAGTGGTAATCACTTTATTTTATTACTGACACGACACGTACGTGTTGTCAGCTTTCGCTGTTGACCTTGCCCACAACATGCAGTCTGTGTTAGCCTCTTTAGTGTCAACTGGAAACACTTCTGTCAGATTTAGTACACGTGTGATTATATAAATAGTTTGTTAATAAAGTGTACTATGCTCCCTATGTGTGTAATTTATCAGTTGTTAACCCACACAATCAAATCTCAAATCTAGTGGAAAACTGAGTTTGTGATTTGAGATTTTTTGTCTCTACAAAACTATTAAATGGCCATCATGGACATGTAAAAATACGAAAGAATAATTACCGAAGTTTAATTAAATCATATTGGACACCCACTTAAATTTTACTCCTGCAATTGACTGAACAACATTTTGTTCTACTTGTCTACAACATTTTCTTGCTGATTATTTGATAGATTTGTGATGAAGACATTGAGGCAGAGAAAATCTCACCTGATGAAGTTGCTGAAAAAACAGATGACCACACTAAAACCCAGTCCTTGGAAGGCATAGATTCAAACCATGAAGCCACAGCATCTAAGGTAAACCCACATACAATGTCAACAGAATGTAAGCCACATGCACTAATTGCCTCGTTACACTTTATCCCTTTAGCTTGGAGACAAAGCAAAGAAAAAGAGGAAGAAGAAAAAAAACAGAGCCACACCAGAAAATGGACAGGTATTGGTAGTTTCTTTAAAATAAAAAAAATCTAAGGTTGTTGCATCATGGTAATTACGTGGGCATGATTTCAGGATGCAATGCCAGATGAAAACATAGATTTGATAATGGAAAAATTGGAACAGTCTAATAGTCATAGTTTACAAAGCGCCAATTGTGGAGGTCCAGACCGAAAAGCTGCCCTTCATGTTGAACACCGGTAAGAACAAAATGTCAATCATGTTATCATTTTAAATATTGTATAAATTCAATATAATACTTTCATCACTGCATATTATATTTTCTAGTAGCAGGTCTGTGATTCACAGGGATGTTACGTCAAGAATAAGCCATAACCATGGTCTTATTAATTTTTCAGGAATCTCAACCCAGAGACTGAGTTGAAGAGATATTTTGGGGCAAGAGCAGTTCTTGGAGAACAAAGGCAAGTATAATAATTTGGCCAACCAGATGCCTAAAAATATGTATAACACTTTATTTGAACACTTAAATGCGAAGAACAAAACATGACTACACTCCTCTCGTATCCACTTCGTAGTAAACAGGTTTGTGGATGAGTTTTTTGTGTGTGTATGTATATATATATATATATATATATATATATATGCATAATAAATATGCAAAATTGGCCCTGCATATCAGCACAAAAGTATCGGCAGAGTTCATCGGCCATCAGTTTCTCTGGATTCTAAATAATCTGCATTGACCGTGAAAAAAAAAAAAATCTAATATCATGGTTTCTTATTATTACTTTATCTGTATTCTCTTCCAATAACAGACCGCGGCAGAGAAACAGACACTTTCACAGGAGCACATGGATGACTAGCCCGAAAGACAGCTGGCCTCGCTTTAGTCGCCCAGGTAAACTTCTAGGATGCAGAATATCTTTACAAAAACACTGTCTGAAATTAGTATTTTGTACACTTTGTCTCTTATTCTTCCAGGAATTTCTATGTCTTTGCTCCAGTCAAAAGATGGCATACACTATTTCACTTTTGAACACAACCGTGAATACCAACAAGTACAGTTCAAGTTCTTTGATGCGGTCGAGTCTATGGATCCCAACAACATTGTGGTAAAGTCCTCTGCTGTCTCACAATCATCTCATACATCTTGTATTTATTATAACTTTCCTGTAATAGAAATTTATTTGTTTGTCTATTTGAGCATTTGAAAAGTGTTAAAATAAGATTTTTGACAAGGATTGTATTTTTTAGGCTCTTCTTCAACTCAACCCGTACCACATCGATTCCTTATTGCAGCTCTCAGATGTTTGCCGCATACAAGAGGACCAGGAGATGGCCAGAGACCTTATAGGTGACAATTAAGATTACTGGTGGTAACGATACTAGTTATTTGCAAAAAGACATGTATGTTATGTCTCATCAGTATCTTGGTTCACAAATGCATGTTAATTATAAAGATGTTTTATGATGGTTTGTCCTATTTAAAACATGACAGCAGCACTGATAATGACTATTAAGCAATTTTTAGATTCTTACGCCTTGTTTTATAATGAAATTCTTCGTATTATAGCTGTTTTTCATAATCATATTAATTGTTTATTTTAATTTTGCAGAAAGAGCATTGTACAGCTTTGAATGTGCTTTTCACCCTCTCTTCAATTTGACCTCAGGAATGAGTAGATTGGATTATCTCAGACCAGAGAACAGGTCAGTCAATGAATTGTGTATTTTTCATTATAAAACACAAGCAGTTTTATGTTTTCATCTTTGTGTTAATGTTCGTTTTTTTTAGGGCTTTTTATTTGGCCCTATACAAGCACATGATGTTTTTGGAGAAGAGAGGGTGCCCACGGACAGCATTGGAATATTGCAAATTAATCCTAAGGTACACTATATGTCACACAAGACCTGACAAATACAAGCTATTTTTACACTTCTTTATAGACATTGTGGGAAATGTATGGTCTAATGAATTTCTCACAATGTACCCTGTTTTACTCATATGTTACTATACTTTCTTCTGTCCAAAGAGCTGACATTTTTATAAGTATTTTATTTATAGATTTAGCTTCATATTGAAAATTTACCATCTACATGAATTTAATGAGAACACTTATTTCCACAAGAAAAAAAACAACAAAGTACAGTCATCAGACTTGAGACGTATTCTCGTAGGTCGGTAAAAGCAAATATTGTGATTAGGCATTGCCAGTGTTAACTGTAGCCAAGTAGTCTTCTAAATGCAAACATTTTCTCTGGAGAACATTGTTAAATTATATCATCTTTTTAGTCAAGAACAAAACGCTCTACTTCTTATGTACCCAATATATAATAATAATATTTATATATATATAAAAATACACTTTACTGAAATCAGATGTCAAAACATTTGTGTTGACTTAACTGTAATATGGTGACTCTCCACAGTACGCTATTGACAAATCTTATCTTAAATTTTTATCTAACTCCAGCTTCCTGATTTCATGACTTCATTGGTCTGGTCTATTTATGTGGGGCTTTATTGTGGGAATAGTCAACGTTGTCCATGTCAAGTCAGTAGTTTTTATTAGCTCCCTGCTTTATATCAGATTATTAATGTAATTTTATATCATGTTCACTTTTGTACATGTTTTGTCAAGGTTTAGTGCTAACATATTTAGTGATATTTAGTTTTTCCCCCTGACCAACAGCTAATGACCAATACTCACAAATATTCAGATATATTGTCTAGTGGATGTAACGGGTAGATATTTGCACTTTTCAGTGCATCGGTTGTCAGCCTTTATTCTAAATCAGAGGCTCATATTCTGTATGGGCTGACCAGCTGCTTTAAGGTCCTATATTACGCTAAATTGACTGTTTTGTTTCAGTAGAGGTGAAGGTATATGGCATTTAAAAATACAGTTCCACACTTCCTGTATTACCTGTATTATCACAAGTTGGAACAGAGTGTTTTCTGTTTGAGAGAAGAACTGAGCCTAAATATACCGGGTTTGTCTGCTAAACGTGTGAATGAAACAGCACACAACTCCAGGTATGTTTTTGATGCGGAAACAACATTATAACATAGATGTTATGTAACATAGAGATTATGCATAAAGCTTTATTTGAACACTTCAACTTTATATGAACAGGACAGCACTAAATGCAACTACACTGCTCCCCTATCATGTTTGTATTGAAATAGGGGTGTGGATGACTTTGTAGTAAATTTAAATGGCAGAATTTGAGGAAAATGATACAAATATATAAACATTCTATAGGCCATGAAAAAACAACACTACTACTATTTTGTGCTTGTTTATCAATAGTTTGGATCCAGACTCTGACCCCCTATGCATGCTGCTGCTCATTGATTTCCTGATGCTCCGTTCAAGAGAATACCAGTGTCTTATCCAGTTGTATCAAGATTGGGAGGTATATGTTTCTAATAAGAATGCTGTGTCAAATATAGATGAATGTTGGAGACACTGAATTATTTTGGTTTACTGCATCAGGAACACCGGAATCTCTCCCAGCTGCCAAATTTTGCATTTTCCATTGCCCTTTGTCATTTCCATCTGAGCCAACAGGAAGATATGGACCCAGAGGAAAGTGACAAACTCAGACATGAAGCAGATCAGATGCTGCAAGATGCTCTCATAATGTTTCCTGGAGGTATGTGTGTGTTATATTCATTGATAGAAATAACATTGCAATGTTTATGTTAAAACATAACTGACTATTGGCTTTACAGTCTTGATGCCTTTACTGGACCTCTGTACAGTGCAACCGGACACCACAGTCACCTCACATGCCTTCTTTGCCCCAAGAACTCACATAGGGTATATGTTGATTTTGTCACAACATTATTTGCATAATCAAAGATGTCACAATTTTCACAATTTGTATGATAGCAGAGATTCTAATTTTGCATACCCTTATAGGCAGCCTCAGGCTCTGGCTGAACTGACGGCACTATTTGTCGGGCGAAGTTTCAGCCTATGGAGAGAAGCCACAGTGATGCAGTGGCTAGAAACAAATGTACAAACTGTGCTTCATCGAGTAGATGTCAAAGATCCTCTGATAGAAGATTACCAGAACAAGTGAGATTAGACCTACTTATGTGTGGTTATTTGTGTTCCTCTATCAAACAGTTTTCTGTGTATATTACCCAACATAAACTGCTATGTTTTGGTAGGAGAAAGCAGAGATACCAGAGTGCACCAAGGAACATCCATCGACATGTCCTCCTGTCTGAAATCAAAGGAGCCACTTCCAGTCTACCTCTTGTAAGGCCCCTCTACAATTGCCATATTGTTTATTTGCTTTTATTTATTCAAAGTCTTATTTTATGTCCTGACCACAGGAGGTGACAACGCAACCAGTGATGGGCTTTGACCCTTTACCACCTTTAGACTCCATCATAACATACACACGGCCAGAGAGGTATACATCTTATTGTTATTAACACAATGTTTGTATATTTCCAATTAATATACACATTTTTCACATTGATATGCATTTTAGACAGCATGCCGGAACATCGAATGAGAGCACTTTGTCTCTCTTTTTCCGGTCTTTGTTGCCAAATTTCAACCTTCAAGTAAGCATTTTTAATCTGCACACAAAAGCCAATTCTGTTTATCTTTAAAACTGTTTTTCTTCTGCTTAACTGTGATCCCATTCATGGCATATGTTAATTTACTGGCATAGTAATATTGAATAATTTTAAATCCAATTGGACTTAATAGCGCTGTAGTTTGAGGCTGGTGGGCAGTTCCACAGTTACCATGGTGACACAATGAACACATGCTGCGTTCCGGTGGTCCTCAGGAATTTGGGATTCTGACATAAGATGTTGTGGTTCTGACTTGTATGCATTCATGTGCTTTTATCAATATCTGGATTTTGATGTCACCAATAATAAAATAATTAAGTTTGCTCATTAACAGCATTTACTTTAGCTAACACTTATAAACATTACATATGTCTTTCTACAAATGCTCTTATGATATTAACAACTTACAGTAAACCCCAAAATATAATAATGGTTAGTCAAAGAGCTCAAATGTTTAAGATAAATCAGCAGAATTTAGTCCGTCTTCCTAGAGCAGACCAAATAAACTTTTGTCCAGCCGACAAATTTAATTTCTTCTGAGTGACTGAGGGATTTTTCACACGTCAGGTCTGAAAGTAAGTTCCTGAGTTGTATTTCCGACTTGAGTAAGCATTCATGTGCATTTGTCAACTTGGGAAAACAATCTCCTAAGTTCCAGAGGACCACATGAACGCAGCAATATTAGCCTAATCATTTTTTGAAAACTTAGTACTCAAGAGAAAGTACATATTTAACAAATAGCCTTCTCCTACTCCTCTTTTAAAGGAATATCCCCATCAAGATGTTTTAATGCTACATTATAGATGTATAATAGTGCGATGTAGTTGAAGCATATAGTTGGTTTAAAGACCGGGGCATGTTTCCATTAGGGCTACTTGCATCCTGATCATGTTATCCAAAGGAAAAGATAAAAATATAGATAAGGTGAATATGGTTATGGTTTAAATGGAGTTACATGTCCAAAACGTCAGCATTGGAGACTTTAACATTTAACACAACCCCATGCTTCAGGATGCTTCAGGGCAGTTCATAAATAATCTTTGATTATGAATTGTTGTTATTGTTATAAAGTTGGATTCCTTTGCTCCTTACAGTGAGATTTTGCTGTTTTGTTTTACTGATGGTGTGTACATCTATATTGCTTTAAGGATGGACAGAGACAAGGTGATGATCAGGAAGTCGCTCGGGCAGGACAAGAACTGAACCAGGAAGTGAATCGACTGATGGTAGCAATGAGAGACATGCTTGCTAACATACGGTTTCAAGAGCCCCCAGGGGAAGACAACCCTTACAGAGATGAAGAAGAGTGGGACTGAGACAGAGAGGTGGATCACACAATCAAGATAAATTAGCTTTTCTTAATGATGATGCAGAAAAATAATGGACAGCAGATTATTGAATAATCTCATATGAGGAATCCTGAGCTTTATGTTTTGTTATTATTGTAATTTTGAGCCTTGGTACATGGATTAAACAGATATTACCAATGTTTAAATACTGTGTTCATACCTTCTGCTGTACTTGTTCGAATTTGTTTTAACTTTAATGGTATTCTCCAGTGCTTGCAAGACAATCCAAAAAGACTAGTGAACTTGGTTAAAGATATGCTTGCCTGTGTGATATCCTTGTGGTTTAAATTCAAAATCAATGGACTAAAAATGCAATCAGTTTAAAATGAATAGGGTAATGTGTTGCTTTTTACTCATATTTAATGCTACAGTATACTGACACTAAGAAAAGCCTGTGCTCATCATGTAAAAGCATAATTTTTTTTAATAGTTATATATAGTTTTTGAAAATTCAAGATTTGTTACAACACAAGCCTAACTGTACATCTTCTTATGACCAAATCTTTGTCAAAACCTATATATTTTTTGTCTTTAAGGCTGAATTGTAAAAGACTTGGTAAATTTTTAAAAGAAAAAGTACATGTTACATTTCTGACAACCATCAATCTAAACACTCAGCCCTCAAGTTAAAAGCAGAGGAAATACACTTCAAGGACAAAGCAGACACAGCAGACAAATCAGTGTATCCATCTATACACTGTGATGTCCATACGCTAACCCTGTTTCTCAGAGAGCCACATGATCTCTCAGTGTGACTGCTGGGCAGTCAAATGATGTCATTGTTCACAGTTCACCTGGAGCTAAGGCTGAGGTTGTCAAAAGTTTTCATGTGATCCATTGGCAATATAGAAAGGCTTTCATATCTGTGCCTCAGGGGTCTGCGTGTGCTGCGATTCAAACCACTTAGGCTACTGCCAGCAGACGCTAATCTCTGCTTTTATAACTGGTAGAGAAACAACTTCTGCATTCTACATTATAAACATTTTAAACATATAAACAGTTATTAGAAACCATGTAACGAATGTATTTTTTTTTTTGTTTTTCTTTGCACAAATATTGTGTGTGAACCAATTAAAAAACTGTCTTTTAGTGACTGCTCAGTGGTCAGACAGCAGCGGGCCGTTGTGTTGGGGCCGTTGTGTTCAGGCCGGTACTAACAATTTGGGCATAGACTAATGGTTTTCGATGGCCTAACCACACAGGAAGTGGCTTGAGTGACTTTGAAAGATAATTTGGCCAAAAGGTGGGACATCCTTTTTCATTAGAGCTGCATCTGTGGACTGTTGTCGGGCCAAGCCCATCTGTGTGCTCTGAGAGGAAGGAGGAGTTGTGTTTGGACAGCAGTCTTCGCTCGCAGAAGACCCAGGGCGTATAAGGTTTGGTTGCGACGCGAAAGGGACAAGCCCGCGCGAGTGAGCACATCATGCACATTTGAAACCAAACTTTTTGACTGAATTGCGTCTGATTGACAGAAGAAAGAGTTTTTATTTTTGTGTGTGTGTGTGTGTAAAAGTAATGGTATGAGTCGGAACTTACAGCGGAATATTTTTTGCTCCCGATTGTTAATAGTTGGGTGTTTTAAATGATGCTGATATTTGGTGATCTCCCTTGAATTAGCTGATAAACTTACTGAAGCATTTTGCGGAGTTGAAGAATTCTTACACGGGAAACCGCGCATCCACCTGTGCCCAAAACGGCGGTGTCTTCAGAATACGTCAAAATGACCAACGGGTCACATAACCCCATCCTCCACGTGGATTTCTCCTCAATGAGTGGCTTTATTGAGGACAACGAAACAAACTCCTCTTTGGGGGAGCGCGACTCTCCGGGCTGCGTGCAGATCCTCATTCCACAGGAGTTGTTCCTTGCACTGGGTCTCATCAGTTTGGTGGAAAACATTTTGGTTGTGATGGCTATAATCAAGAATCGTAACCTACATTCGCCCATGTACTACTTCATTTGCTGCCTGGCCGTGTCTGACATGCTTGTCAGTGTCAGTAATGTTGTTGAAACTATTTTCATGCTACTGAACGACCACGGACTGCTGGACGTGCACCCGGGGATGTTGCGTCACCTGGACAACATTATTGATGTCATGATCTGCAGCTCCGTGGTGTCGTCCCTGTCATTTCTATGTACCATTGCCGCTGACCGTTATATTACCATCTTTTACGCGCTGCGCTACCACAGCATCATGACCACTCAGCGCGCTATAGCCATTATTGTGGTGGTGTGGCTCGTGAGCATCACTTCCAGCATCCTCTTTATTGTGTACCACACGGACAACGCTGTCATCGTCTGCCTCGTCACTTTTTTCTGTACAACGCTAGTTTTCAACGCAGTGCTCTACCTGCACATGTTCGTGCTTGCACATGTGCATTCACGTCGCATCATGGCTTTCAACAAAAGCCGGCGTCAGTCCACCAGTATGAAAGGCGCCATCACTCTTACCATTCTTTTAGGTGTCTTTATTATTTGCTGGGGTCCCTTCTTCCTCCACCTCATCCTCATTCTCACGTGTCCCACGAACCCTTTTTGCAACTGTTTCTTCAGAAACTTCAATCTTTTTCTCATTCTCATCATCTGTAACTCATTAATTGACCCGCTCATTTACGCGTACCGAAGCCTGGAGCTGCGCAAGACCCTACAAGAGTTGATCTTATGCTCCTGGTGCTTCGGTGTTTGACATTTTGCTTCTCCAGGGTGAGAAATTGTGGAGCTCAAGTTAAGGAATACTTCCAAGTCCTCCTCTTTATGAATGTAGCCAACAGTGGAGCAAAATCACTAACGTTTGGACATCTAACGCATGAACTAATGGATGCCTTCAAGTCAAGTCAAGTTCTTCTGTAGGGACACCATGTAGCGCATAGACTGCTCACTCTGTCCAAAATGGAGGCTACATTTTCAGTGGTACCTTTTTCTTGAGTTGCGTTGATATTAAATGTACCTAATAGTCCAGTCACAAATTTGGCCCTGTAGGATGCCAAAAGAAAGAAATGTGTATGACTTTGATGCTTAGTTATTCTTTATAAAAATGGTAGGGGGGTGGGGTGGCTGTATAAATAAAATTTCCATCTTCCTTAACGATCATTACTTGTTCATGGAAACTGTTGAAATCTATGTACACCTCTTATTTATTTCAAAATTATATTAAATAAATTGTAAAACTGATTAGTATTGATTGTACCAGGAACCTATATTGTAATTGCATTTCTGCTTTTAATCTGATAGCAAGTGGCAAGTTAGTCTGTATTGGTGTGAAAATTTGATTGTTTTTAGTTGAATGATTGTGAATAAGATTTTTAACAATACCTACAAATTTAAATGACCCCAGGAAGAATAGCTAATGCAGTATGCTGCTAATGGAGATAAAAACAAACAATAAATAACCAAGAGAAACAGTTTCATTTAAGTACTGTCAAGGGCTTAATTATAAGCCAAGGATGGTTGTTTAAATAAAGGTGTAATCAGTTTCCATCTTGCTTAATGATCAGTAATTGTTCATGGAGACTGTGTACATTACCTATATCATAATTATACTAAATCAGCTGTAAAATAACTCAATACAAAATACTATTGTGTTTTCAGTTAAGGTATAAGGCTATGTAGAAAGAAACTTCATTGACTTGTGTAGTGGTTACATGAGGTCCCATGATATCAATGCCTGCCAAAATTAAACCACATGAATTGAAATGTTCTGTTTCAAGACTAGAAGGGCCTTGCAGTGTGAAATGAGGCTCCTTAAAATAACTTCGTGTTTTGCCCATGGCTTCTTTGTAAACAGAGCTGCAACTGTTGTGGGGGTGCACAAACCCCCAATTCACTGTGTTGCTTGAATGTAAAGGTTTTTTAATTTCTTGACTAAACTGTGAAATATCTGTTATACAAATTGTGTCAGCATATGAAGCTACTGTTATAATTCACTGCAAAGTATAAATGTAAAAACTTGACACATGCCACACAATAATGTAAGTATAAGTGTGTTATAAATGAGTGACATGTTCAACATTTTTAATATACTGTGTAGCTGACTGTTATGAAGAAGGACTGCAGTGGCTCAGTGGTCAGTGCTAGTCCACCAACCATAAAGGTCAGCTGTAAACCATGCAGTACATACTGCTGATGTGTCCTTGAGCAAAACACTTGTAGGCAGTGCATATTAGAAGCCTTCGTTCTGTCAGTCTACCCCAGGGCAGCTTTGTCTACAATAACTTACCACTATGTATATAGTGAATGAATCATGCATGAAACTGTAAAGCTATTTTTAATGTCTGGAATAGTGTTATATGCATTTAAGTATTATGTATTATTACTCTTATTAAGAGGCCATTAATAGAGAGCATACATGGCATCATGTTGTATTTGCAGTTTCCTTCTTTTTGACAATGTGACATGCACCCTGCATTTTAAATGGCATGCAGACCAAATTATGAGGTTTTAGATCTAAAACAATAGACACACACTGACAAAGCATTTAGTGCATGCATCCAAGACATTTATATCAGGCTATTTTTTGTACTGAATAAACAGACCAGTGTGTAAAACAGAAGGACCATTCATATTAAACGCAAACAGATACTCTTCAAATGTTCCATTTTAAACTCATGATCAAGTTCACTTCTCTAAATAACACTAATGAGGGGATTTCCAACTGGAACAAATGCTGGTTTTCATTCTGTTTTCAAGCAATATATTTAATGGAAACATTTGATTTAAATTTGATTGTGCCTCACATTTAATGAAATTATAGTATGTCTGAAGTCTAGCTAAATGGATCAGTCCAATTAGTTTATGGGAACAGGTCATATTTTGTAAGTTATTGTAGTGTTTTGTGATGTTATGATGAACAACCAGGCCTTTGAGACACTGGCGGTGAAATACTAAAGCAAAAACACACTCAGTATCTATTTATCTTTAAACTAAAGTAATATTCTACAAAAGACTCACCCAACAAACCCGGCATGGGGCCACAATGTGACCAGAACTGTCCACCTAAACTTATAGCCCAGACTCCAAGCTATGCACCATTTAAACAAGTTGGAACTATACAAGAAATTTTATTTAAGAACTGTTATCACAATGGGGTAACACGTTTTGCAAGTACTTAACTGCAACTTTTTAGAACTTCCATACTCCAGACTCCAGTTAAAGGACACATTAAACTAGGGTGCCACACTTTCACACATGCATGCAAATGTAGACTAAACCTGGAATTAAAACAGAACTAAACCAGGACTAACATGTCTGCATGCAGGTCACATTATTTAGCAAAAATAGCAAACGTGTCAAAAAATATACTAACTAAATATACTAATAAAAAATAAACTATGTATAGGCCTATGATAATCTCTTATGTAAGGATGAGTTACACAGTTGATGTGACTGATATCACTTTAACTAATGTCTCTATACCATAGCTGATCACGTGACCAGTTTCACTGAGCAGTTTGTCAGTACATACAATCAGTGTCCCTTTTGCGAATACTTCTCCAGTAGACCACATCAGTCATATTGGTAGATCTAAAGTAACTTGCTACACACATTGAAAGATCTATTTCTCTACTCATGCGTTTCTTGTACACAGTATTGCAGCTATCCCTCCAGTCCAGGTCTAGAGGGACCCCCAAGTAGGCTACTTGTACCGGTCCATAACTTCCTCGTCTTGGCCTTGGATGGTGATAGGCTTCGCTGGTACTTGTCATTTTCAGTCTGAAGTTAAAGTCCAATTCCTTGTCTTGTCATGTTTAGGAGCACATGGTCTGCAATAATATTTTCACTATCCAGGTGAGGGTGAGCACACTGCAGAAAATGACTGCATTGTCTACACTAACATGAGGCTAATAAGCAAATTGTGAAGAGTCCAGGGCAGGGCCACCAGGGGTCTAAGTTGAGCAGGACAAGACTCTCCAGGACCTTCACAACGTCGGGGAAACTGGTCTGACGTTGTTGAGGCCATATGGGATGGACTTATTGTGCACCGGCTGCACTGGTATCCTTTGCAGCTTCAGATCAGGTGAAGAGGATTCCATTTATTGATTGAAAATATTCATGCTGACAAAGACTTCCTTTTCGAGAGTCTTATTATTCTGTTATCTTACAGCCTAGCATTTATTTGGGTTTACGTAAAACACTTAAAATGTAATTATAAGGCATTTATTTAAACACTGAATCATTAAAACATTGAAATTAATACATAGTTTGAGACTCTAACCAATAAACACATTTTATTATGAAAGTACTGATGGGAACATGATCGGTGTGCGGTGAGAACTGACGCGCACTTGCCTTGTGCTGTTGACAAAAATAACGTCAGCTGAGCTGTGTACATATTACCTAGAAGCGAAGAAAGCAAGAATATAAAATCCAGTAATAACCCTTATGAGCAAAAAGGCAACAACGTGGTAGGTTTCGTTTAAAGTTGACCCGGGTGGCATTTTCAGATTACACATGTATTGGTTTATTTGAATCGTTTAGCTTAGCTACTCTGGCTTTAGCTTTGGCTATCCAGGAAGGATGCTGCATGATGAAAGCTGGTTTTATTCAGCTAATGCAAAATGTAAATCCATATTACCTTATGCTGTTACATTAATTATGTTTTGATGACTTGAAGTTCACCGTTTACGCGTGTTCTCATTGGTTAGAGTTGGTGAGGCGATGATGATGCTTCTTTTTACGCATGGTTATGTGCGGCGTAAGACGAAATATCCTGTCTAAAATGTAGAAAAAAGGTCCGTTATTCGCACTTGGGTATTTATAAGTGTATTTAAATAAAATATGAATATTAATTTGTTTTGAGGTGCATGTGTGTGTGCGCGCGCTTGTGTATGTGCGTGTGTAGTATTTCTTCTGCTGTATCTGAACCTGGCCACAGCAGCTCCTCCTAGTGCTGTCCCCCTGTGTATTCTTGTGCCCTTCTTCGATGGGAAACAACTGTAACGCCTCCTGAGCTACAATACTTCTGCTGGCTCCTCTCGCTGTTTACTTATTTATTTATTTATTTACTGGTATTTACGTATTTGAGCAAAATTTTCCTTACATTACAGTAATTGCAGTAATTTAACTGTATAGTTGAGGTGCTCAAAAAGAGTAGGTAGAAGTACAAGCTCCCCCATCTCTATGGTGGGCCAGCCACCCTGCTAAAGAAACTGTATCCATGATTTTGTTATGATCCAGAACTCAAAACCATCATAGTAGGAGTGTCGACTGGCTGGTAAATCAAAAGCCAAGTCAGTTGTGAATGTTTTAAAAAATGTCCACACTTTCAGTAAGCTTCCTGAAAATAGTTCAGATCCTGACCCAGCAATGCATGTAATAATTGGTGTTCAAAAAAGTTTCAAGTAAAATGAAGGAAATGTATGTCTGTTTTTCAGATGTAGCCATTAAAATGGAGTATGGTGAGAGGCTAGCACATTTCCGACAGACCCGACTCAATCCCTTTGATCGTGGAGAGGAAGAAGATGACCCCCAAGAGGGAAAGCCTGCACCGAAGCAAGGTAATTAGGAGCAAAAAACAGTTGGCTAGTTGATTTGCCACAGTACTGCTGTCTGGGCCTTGGCTTGAACATGACGTGTAATGAAAAATTAAATCAATGTCCAGACATAAAATAAGTTGGTAGTGTTTTCTTGAAAGTTTGAGAATGTCCACAGAGCACAAATATAGACAAAATACAGTATCAACTCTGTAGGCTTCTCCCAACTGGCATCACTTTGCTCAACACACCCAGGAAAAATAATAGTTTGGACATTTTATGAAATCAAGCATAGACGTTAAAATTTTTAAATCTTTAAATTTCCTGCCCATGGCAGGTAGATTAGATATTTTGTTGAATTCATTTATGCTTCATTTGTAAGGTCATAAGTTAGACCAACAGCTGTGCCTCTTAAAATTATTATGATTTAAATGTTGTCATTCCTAACAGCTCTCTCCAATTAGCACATTTTGCTGCTGCATTTTATTATCTATAGTACATATTAGCCTAAGGAAAGGGAAGTTAAAAACAATGCTTTTTCAGTTCACATAAGCACTTTGCCACACATCACTTCCTTCTGAGACATTTCAGTGAGTTTTTAAGGCTTCAAGGTGTCTATTTGTTCAGTGCAGTGTAACCAGTCCAAACTTCAACATCCCAGCAGGTAGGTAATAAGTTCATGATCACTGTCTTACTGAAAGAACAGCTTAACGGACATACTAGT